ACAGTGATCGGAGCGGACAGCCACGGAGGTCAAACCGGTCAGCCGCAGAGATCGATCCGGCTCTAAGGACGCCATAAAGAGCGGAGAAGACCGGAACAGACCATCGCTCGGCGGGTAGGGCCAGACATCAACAGATGTCAACAATGATCAATGCTGATAAGCACAGCACACCACCAGCACTCCCTGCACACCGTCCGCATGGCCGGGGATGCGTGTCTGCGACGGGGGACCGATCCTGGTGCAATGCCTGCCTGACCATCATTACGAGTTGCCCGCAAGCACTGGTGTCGCCGAATGTGCTACACTGCAACAAACGACATTGGTCCTTGTGATACGACTGGTGACAGCGGGTTATAGTTGCATCGCCTGTCCCGGCGACCGAGTCAACACACGCCGATTCCGCACCGACTGCCACCGCTGCCAGCCACTCACCTCTGCATGCCCTGGTAGCCCTTGCCCGAGTAGGAGACCAGCAGCAGCACCTTCTTCAGCTTCCAGCGCTCGGCGCCGGCGTCGTCGGCGGGACGGTGATCGGCGCCGCCGGCCGTCACCGCTTCCCCGGCGGCGGCGGTCCCCGTCGGGCGCTGCTCGCCGGCGTCCTCTTCCTCGCGCCGCGGCCTCTTGAGCTCGCCTCCATCCACCAGCTCAGACGCGCCGCGCTTCACGCCGTTGGCGGCGGCGCAGACGCTCATGGTATGGGCTGAGTGGTGTGTGGACAACGAATGGTAAAGGTGCGCTAACAGGGCACGCAGCAGGCTCGTGCGACCTGAAACTATGCAAGTTGCATGTGATGAAAAAGCATGCACATGCACATAAATAAGAATGCACACACTGTACTCAGAAGCACCAGGGGATAGTGAAATTTGCCACCTTCTAGATCATATCATGTTTTCTAGCCCACTATCTTGGTACTGCAGTAAATACTTGTATGATGATGTCATTGGTGGCTCAACTGTTGTGAGATTTGGGGAAAATCCACAGTTCAATTCATTTTTAAGAGCTGTGCATCATGCTTTAAAAAATATTACTGTTGTGTACTCAGTTGAAAGGGTGCTGAATGAGTTACCAATTTATGGCAAGTAGCTGTAACTATTCTTATATAGCCCATCTCTGACACTCAATGGGCAGCTAGCCCAGGTTTGCAACAGACCATTTCCTAAATGTTGCACCATAAAATGGCATGTACAAACATTTCTTAAAAAAGGGTTGGACTGGGATTCCTCTCCAGGCATAACAATATGCATTCAAGGGTGCTTACACCAAGGTGTAACTGGTCATGATCCTACTAATGGCATGCTTTTTAAGTCCTCTGATCCTGAAACAATCTCTGCAGTAGATCAAATTTATGAGACATTACAAAATCAACTTTGAAAATCAGTAGACTACAGTAAATTAACCCTGAAACAATCTCCGCAGTAGGTCAAATTTATATAAGACATTACAAAATTAACTTTAAAAATCAGTAGACTATGATAAATTAACATCAGGTAATCAAACATATTGCAGTCATTTTCAAAAGCAGGAAACAGGGCAACTGTCACAAAAGGCAGAGCATCACACCTTAAGGATGTTACTGTTGCCGGCACATCTACAGAAATTTAGTGCTGCAGACAATGCTATGCTCTTCGAGTCCTGAGAACAGGGTCTATTGGAGTGAATATCAACCAGCTTGCATAGTTAATGTGGCATGAACTAGTAAGAGGTTTGTGAGACCAACAAGGTAAAATATGAGACAATATTCAGCATGTGCCACAGTACAGGATGGACATGTCTAGCAGGCCAGCTGCCAATGTTGTGGTTTAAAGCAGAAGATCCCACTACGCAGTGCACTGTAGCAGAATGTAGCAGAAGGAGCAATAAGAATTTATAGTCTTGATGAGCTACCCACCCTATCTCTTACCATAAGGCATCCCCTGTTTGCTCACTGCATTTATCACAGACAGGTCAGGGTATCATGCCTTTCACATTCATCATCCACACCATGAGGTGTTGAGCACATCATGAGTGTTATAATCATGCTACTGTTATGCTTGAAGTATAAATAAAATTATATGGAAAATGTGAATGGAGCTGTGGAAAATATGAAAACAGGGCTGTCAACAGAAGTACCCACATTCTTTAGATCACAGCCAATTAGATATGCCCAAGGCCTCATAAAAAACATTTTGAGCCATTATCCCTCAAAATTCACAGTGAACGCACAGAGCCTGAGGCAAGTCACTTATCAGCAGTGACCGTTCAAGAGTGTCTGGTTACAAACGTTTCCAAAAAATGCTGGAATAGTGATAAAATCCTCATATATGCCTAAATTTTAGAAGAAATAAAAACCACTTGAGCGCAACAGCTGCTGGCTTTATGACCAACGCCCTAGTCTAGCATAGTTCTACCTGAAAGCCAAGGGTAAAAAGCTGCATGAATATGAGTAATGCATCCGCTCACAAATCCCTGCAGGGATGTAGCAAGCAACCAACCACGCGCTCCTCCATGAATTCGCAACGAATTCGGGTACGCATGGATAGACGATTCTGGCGTGGCTATGACGAAATGTGCATGTAACGGTGGGCCCGGCGGGCCCAACTACGGCTTCGGATAACATGCGGCGCCAGATTCAAAGTGACATCATTAGCCTTCATGTGGCATCCTTGTAAGACTTAATTCCAGCGTTGGTATCATACGAATGCAAATTTGTGTCGTCACTTCATAGACTTTGCTTCCTGCAATTAGCGCAAAAACACATCTGTGCTTACATTGCTCAAGCCAGCTGCCTTACGAAAACCTAAGAACTAGAAACTGAGGCCTGCATCAACGTGATGGGCGCAAAATACACGTGACAGCGCTACCAGTACGCTGTGCAATTTTCTATGGGCGCTCCCAGTATCATTCGTGCACAATTTCTAGCGCCTCTTCATGACGCCTTTCACCAACTCACCTCTGGAACTTCAAAGACGTCTCAAAAATTAAACATCACACATTTTTAGAGAGAGAATTGCCTTTAACCGCTGAATAAATGCTCGCACATCCATCAGTGAATGATCTGAAACATTGCTGGAAATGCTTCTAAAACGGGTGACTCAACGGAAAAACATGAACAGTATTTAAATCCTCATTGCAAGTCCCTTGTACTTTTTCACTGAAGAGTCCGAGTGGCAGTGGCAGTGCGTCAATGACAGCCACCCCATGGAGAAGTACTCGGTGCACAGACGCGGTCATCGGATATCACGGATACATATGCACATAAAGTGTGACTATTTGTTGACAGTAGGCACAGAACTTCCAAGCGTCTATTTGATATCCGGATGTCATGGCTCCCAATACAGCATGCAGGTGTCGGATTAGGCACTCGTCGACGCCGGGGATCTCAGCGAAGGTCGCTTTCTCTGCGAAGGCCGCCGGGCCGTGTTGCCGTCGTTTAACGAGCCGTTTCCTCCAACTCTCGGCAGGTCGACATGAAAATGAAACCTCTCCCAAAACGCTAACTGCACTGCTTTCTTCTTCTCTTGCATATGTTCCTTTTCGCCTTTTGACCTGATCTGCCACTTCCGTAGATCAACGCAATAGCTGATGCGGAGTATGCACTCGAGAACCCGGACCCAGGCGTGCAAAGTGCTGAGACCTAATTGCAAGTGGCTTTTATTGACTGCAAGTTGCCGGACATACTGGAGATCTTTCATCACTTTTGGCGCCGCCTTACAGAGTGGGTAGAGTTGTATTGGGACGGTCTCTATCAACCCGTGCGCCGACCACGGGTGTACGAAGTTGAGAGCTTCTCCAGCAAGACTTCTTGTCTTCAGTCACTCTTCGTTTTCAAAATGAAGTAAGGCATGGAATTAGACAAGCCTGTGCTGCCTGAGAAGGTCAATCTTTCTCCAGAATCGACTATTGAAGCAAATGATAAAAAAGGATTGAGTCTGTGTTCACAATCTTAGTAGCAAGAACACCGACGGGCCGGGGCTGCAGTCTCTATCAAACTGAGCGGCGTTGGCCTCCGCAGACAACACCAGACGGCGAGCACCGGGCGCGCAAGAACAACTGTGGTGAAATAATCCTTTCAAAAGTATGTCAAAATCAATTCGTATCGTTTAAAGATTACACTGAGATGTACATTTCAGCGGTATAATTTTGAGGTTGATTGACTTCCGAACAGCTTAAATATTACGTCAACACGGAAATGAAAATTTTTCTTCTTCTTTTCCAGCTTCCCACAAGATTCCAGCGAGATTTTGCAGCGATGTCCATGCTAGTTTCGTCTCATTGACAATCTAAAACTTGTAGAGATGATGTGTCTGCTTGCATCGCCTTTGAAACGCATTGATTGATGTTTTCAAGGGCTCATAGGCACTTCTTTCAGACGCGTCATCGTTCCCGTCGCCGTTGGCCACCGCCCAAGTTTTAGCCGGAGAGGAGGTCGGCACCGTACGCCCCGCGGAAACTGCAACGCTGGGCGTCGAGTTTTGTTTCTAAGGCTTTCCAAGAGCACATTCTCATAACTTTTTCATCTAACTTTTTTTAGAATTCAATTATGAAGGAAGGTTAAGTATTCCCAGACTCACGCAATGGCAATGTCAAAACATAACTTTGATCCCGTTTCGATTTACAATCTACGTTCACGGAGTCCTCAAGGCCGATCGCCGTAGAGGAAAAAATCCGGCGAAACCTCTGAGTGCTATCAGTTAAGAAACAAAAACTGAACTATTGTAAGGGGAGCATCAGAAATTACTGAAAATTTGTATTCTGTGTAGTTATTTAACGCCTGGCTCCTTCAGCTCTCTGAGTTAAAAATACGAACAGATTTTCACCTACCGGTGACCTCTGGCTTCTATTAAGGTTGAAGGCGGCAAAAATAATAATAAAACGAAGAGTAACACGCCCGATGATTTCCCTTGGGGGAAAGCTTTGCTAACTTTGTGCCCGCCCCCCCCCCCCCTCCCCCAACCACTTCCTTACCCAAGACTAGATGAAAAAGCTACAATAACCGGGGTATTATTTTTTGTTCAGCCCTGTCACGGACATCACAGCTTTATAGACCTGTGCAAGAGCGCACAAGGCTTCCAGTTGTGCTAATACATCGACGTCATCTCAAGCCAAAGAAACTTATGCGTCAAACATTGCAATCGCCATCGCTGCCAGATGTGTTCTACTGCATCGCTGTTGTAGTCGTAGATTTCAAAATAGTTTTTCAGCCAGAACGACAGTGGCCCTTCGAATGTGCGATCATCGTCAGTCCCGTTCAGAAGAGGTAAGGCTAGCTGAGTGCGGGTGAGCTTATTGAGCACCGAGTACGCATGCAACATGATAACGACGTGGGCAATAAAGGGCCAGCTCAAGTATTAATCCTGTTAGAATCACACTGGATTGCGCATGGTATTGACAACACCGGCGTTTGGTTCGCCACGTTCGAATCGTAGCAGGATCGGGAGGGTCGCTTTCCGTTCAGAGGCACGCGTTCACTGATACGAACGGTGAAAAACAATTCCAAACATAAAAGAGTTTGCCCAGGTGTATTTAAGGAATTGTTCAGGATCACCGTCTTCAATAATGCGTGGAGCAGCAGTCATGTCAATTTTTATTGGAATGCATACATTTTGCCGGTTATTGAGAAATCGACAACCATGCAGAGGGGGTAAGTGCTGTCAGCATATAAGCAAGACGGAACAGGACAAAAACAAGTTAGAAGTTAACAGGTATTGAGACACATGTTCAAGATAACGTACTGCGAAATAATTTTTGGCTTTCTTGGCTATTAACGTAATCACAACTCTGATATCGCAGTGACAATCAGGATTGAAGGAGTGAAACGGGAGTCTAGACGAGACAACCTAAACTTAGTATGATATTCTGAAATTGAATATTAAAAAACAGCATTCCACATGCACAATTGGGAAGGAATTTTACACATGGGTACATATTACACATCAGGAACGGGACAAAATCACGCTTTCCGCCTCCCAGTCTCCACATAGGCTCCGACGTCACTGGGTATGACTTGGCACTATGAAGGCAGGAGATGGAGGTTTAGTGACAACAGGACAGACGAAGACAGACTGGCGCCCTGGGCAGGATGAGAGAAGACAACGTAGAACAAGACAGAGGAGAAGGCAACGGCGCAAGGCAAGAGATGACTGGATAGCGCATCAGTAGTCATTGCGACTTGACGTACTCAGCTGCTAAGGGTTTAGGCGGAACCTGGCTCTTACCATGGCAGGAAGGACGAACATCGCGGGGAATCAAACCTCGTACTTCTGGTTCTGATCCACTGCACTTTCGGCATCCTGAGGGTAGAACAGCAGATAGGATAAGTTGGAACGGAAATGAAGATAACTGACATGACAGGATCTCAAAATATATCGAGAAAAGATATTCCTTTCATCCTTATCCCAATTACAACATGAGCCTCGGCTCCTGTACTCCTTCCTCCTCCCCCCCCCCCCCCCCCCCTCCGCCCGCCTGCCTTTTCCACCCAGCACTGTCCAGTATCGTCAATGTTGCGCATTTAATACCCCTGTGTTGCCCAGAATATGAAACACTCCACGGCATTCTAGGGCCGGCGCGGGTGATGGGCGACAATCGACGGTTCCGCGGACCGCACACTGCGGGCGTACACTGTGACATTAATAGAGTCATACATCATAAATATATGCTGAACACCCATAAAGCTATCCACCATCATACCTAGAACTGTAAAGGAACACGCCTGCTCAAGTTTCGTGTCGCTGCATGACATGGCCTAATGATTATGAGCATGTAAAGCTCAACACGCTCAATGCTCAGCAAAACTTGACCTTTTGACCTGACATAAGGGGGTTTACCAATTGGTACCAGTTTAATGGTGGCATTACCGATTGCAAAATTTCGTACAGACCAATCCATTGGTGTTTTCCGCTAGACTTTCACTTTCTTAATTTGGAAACGGTGGAGGGGGAGGCGGAGGTCGCATCGAGCCCCGCCATCAGTCTGCTTTACAAAAAACGGCGAATCAGGGCAGGGTTTATTACTTGTGCCTTCTTGTTCAGTTCACTTGCCATGTTCATGAGCACTGAGTACGCACGCAACGAACTAACGATAGCAGGTTGTAGGGATGTAGCTTCCTATTCAGAAGAAGTCCCCTCCCCCTCCCCAACACACATACGCTTTAACCCCAGTCTCCCCCAGTAGGCGAATAAAGCGTGCAAATTTGCGGAAAACCCTTTTGGTAGCGTACTTTTCCGATGAATCTCGTAAATTTAACTGTTCATACCTCCGCCAGCTCATGTTGCGAAACACGCCCCTGTCACACGGTCTGCATCGAGCGGCATCACGAATACTGTGGCGTCTTGTGGCGCGTATGAGACATACTCAGCCACAAACACAAATGTCTCACGCTTGACGTTTACTCGCTCCCTCCCCCCGAACTTTGAGATAAGAGCGGAACGAACTCGTGGAGAAATATGTTTGCTGTCGCGATTTGGTGGTAAGTGGGGATATTTATCATTGCTCAGCTCACCTCCACCAACTGATTTTGTA